AAGCTTCTTTCAACTGTTTGCTACTCTTCTTCCACCTTATGTTTGGAAAATATCATTCGTACTCTGTGAAGTAAGGTTTTAATTAATTCGTGTTCATAGTTAATCGGAAAACAACTATTAAAACTCAAGTAGGGACCTTTCTACGTCCTTTCCAATGAATAGACGTTTGGGGCGTACCATCTGCCCCACACTGTTCGGTAAGATCCAGAAAACTGAACTTCTTATCATTTTCGTATTCCGTGGTACATTTATTATTGTTATGAGCATTATCAAAGTGTTCTAACAAGTGAGATGCAGAGAATAAATTACTGGTCAATCAGCTGAACAGTTAAAACTCCTAAAGAAGTTCTAAAACTCTTTTTTCCTACTTAAGAATTTTATTTCGATGGAAACTCTATTCAGCGACTTCAGGTTTAATATATTAATATGAATTTCAATGATTTTTCAAGATCCTAAGTGAAAGGTGGATTTCGAAGTTCATTGCGATTTGATAACTAAAGACTGATTAGTTCCTGGATAAGCAGTGAAGAGAGCAGCTAATTAAAAGTTCAGGTTTCTTAAAAATCGCCCTGCTCTGTCCTTATTGTTCTTCGGAATTCCTTCTTCTCTGCTAAAATTTGGTGTTTGATTCAAGACTTAATTTGCCATTGGATGCAAAATGCAGAATAAGTTTTCAAAATAAGATATCTAATATAGTATTAGACTTAGTGATCATATTGCAAACAATTTGGTTGATTTGTGAATCTGAACAACGCAATCAAAAGACTTAATCTATCTAAAACGTTTGGTGTTTTGCAATAAGGAATGGGGCAGTAAGAAAAGTAACAAAGTAAGGTTGCTAATTTTGAAACTAACCTTGATAATTGACAAGATAAAGTTTACCAGTGTATGTTCAACAAAAAAACATAGGGCGGCCTCCTTAGGGCTTAGGCTACTAAAAATCTTTCCACCGAATAGATTCCATAAACTCTTCCCTTACGGTTTGTTTTAATCTTTTAAATGTCTCATCATATACTCTCGCACATTTTTAAAATGTTTTCAAATTTTTATTTCTCAAGCTAATAACAAAACAAAAGAAAAACGTTTCACCAGTTGAAATTGGATTTCTAAATACCGCAAAACACACCAGATTACTCTTCCTGGGACACCCGTATGGAATTGTGAATTTCTGTGATAGCTGACTGAACTGCCACCATCAAAACTCTACTCGATTTTGTTTTAATTTCCTAATCGAGAACAGATGCTAATGTAACACTAGCTGCTTGTTTCACGCTTATGCCTTCGATACTGTTATTATTAACACTATGCAGACGTAATAATTATTTCTTTCTAAAGTATTGTACAGAAAGCGAATATGTTGGAACATTTCATACTGAAAATTCCATACTGTACCATACATATAGTTTGGAGTAAAGCAAATATTGTTATTACTAATCATGTTTGGACACGAAAGAGACATTTAAATCTGCGTATAGTCAGCACTTCAACAAATCTAAACATGCGTTCATGCAAAAATGTAAGGCTGTTTTAATTTCACTCCTGTGAACGTTATTAATGTGTTTTGCAACGCGTGATGATGGTTGTCTGCCACCTGAGCGAATTGGTATTTGTGAATCATTTGTAGTCATTTTGGAACATATTGCACCACCCACAAGTGCCTATCTCTATCAGCTCTTCTAATGTATGTAGGTTCACAATCAAGTAATAAACGCAATGGGATGTGACAGAATCCTTTAAAAAGTGGTGTGTTGCACCATGTGTTCGGTTTTCTCAACTGCAGTGAGCTTTGCTCCATACGATTTTGCCGACTGAACAACTCAGCTATAGGATTCCCGTTTGTATAGCAGTGTGACACAAACATTTTTGGAAAAAATAAAAACTGGGCTTTAATATATACTGATCTTCATAGTGGATCATAAGACTCGGTGGATAATAATTTTGTTATTGGTGTTTCAACTAACATTCTCCTAGTATCAAACAGTGTTTGCCCTGTACAAATACGCTGGTTAGTTCTGAATAGACATTTTATCAAGCCACGCTTAAATTGGCTTGGACAAAATTGATCGCAAGTTAATTGCTAACCTGGTTCCTTGTAAAAGCATCCTTTTATTGTACCACCTTACATACGACTGGGAACGGTAAGTGATTATCTTTTCTTCCTCACATGTGAAATAGAAATACGGAATTAAGTCTTTCGAAGACATGTCACGGCCTCCTGCCTGTCATATATTAGAATCGCATCCTTGACAAATGTCCTATGAAAAGAAACTTCATTTGTATCATCACGAGCCAAACTTTAAATACAAAACACGTTAACACAAGTTAGCAGTAGTTCTAGGGATATGGTCATCGCCACGTCGTCAGTCTGTCGAAGATTTTTGCCTTCAAATGTAAAATAGACCTTACCAGTACAGTACATTAGCATCTCTTTCAAACATTTTTAGGGATAGAGAAAGATAAATCAGTAGAAGGTACATAGTCATAAGAAATGTTGGTGACCTTGATTTACATCAAGTTTTTAAGAAAAAAATACAAGTTCTCATTTCTGATATAAATATCACTAAGATAATCAACGTGTTGAAATGCATCTTTCCATGAAAAGTAATTCCTTTCAAAAAAGAACTATAACTCTCGCTAACCATTTTATCGATTTATATGTAACTGAACGGCAGTACAGTAGGTAAAGAATTGTTATTTTCATGAACTTTGAATAATCGATGAAAATTCGGTAATTTTGACCAATAGGTTTTAGCGAAGTAAGTTCTTCCCTGCTAGAAACAGTCATGAACAATAGTCTTACTAGATCATATTTTACTTCGTATTCTAATTTTCTAAGATCATCAGATGGAATATCAGTTATTATTTTACTGTCATCACTAAGGATGGATTTTTTTCGTGATTTTGCAATCCTATTGGTTTATAATGATCACAATTACTCCTTGCTTAGTTTGAATCGTTGGAAATTTAGAGTGAGTCTTGATTGCGAACAATAGGATTGATCAGCTTTACTGGTTTATCCTCCCGGCGAATCCAATTATCTAAGGATGTTGGAATAAAGAATGAGCAACTTAACACATACCATGAATTTTATTGTAATTTTTAGTCAGTACACTAGTGATTTTGTTTAGAAGCGAACTCTCTGAAATCTGTTATTCACGTTTCTTACAAAGCTTTGTAGCCGTCTTATGTTAATTCAATATCTAACAGACAATTTAAAATTGAATTATACACCAACTTGATGATTACATTACACTCCTCTATCTCGTCTTTGCCATCGTGAAACATTTTTCACTTGCATTAAATGAACTGAAAATATTTATCTGTATATGGTTTAGTTTCTAATGGAATAGCATTTTGGATATTCTGAAAAAAATCAAAATTCAGCATCATTCTCACATGAAATATGTTGGTAGTAGTCTTCTTACTACTGATAAGGAACACGGTGTTTCTCAATTTTTTCTTTATGGAAAAATGTCAACACTGCGTTATGTTTGACGGGACAGTAGATCTATGTTTTGGTTTTTGTCTAATGCATTTCGAACAAGCTGTCTTACTTTAAGAAATCTACCGTCAGGAATAAACTCATTATATCATATTCCTAGAGATCATCTAATTAGAATTATGTTGAACGTTGACAACTGTGATGGAAAATTTGGACATTTATGACAATGTGTTTTACTAATGTATTGGTGCTCTAAGAATATGTATATCGAACCACCAAAGTTATTATCAATAGCTGCACATTTTAAACATCACAGAACATGAAATAAACTTCGTTCTTAAGAGTAGGAAAAGTTTTGTGAACTGTGACAAATATCCCACTTATCTGTCTGTATGTGAGTAAACACAGCATTACACATTTATGTAAATCAGAAACCAATGCTAGTGACTTGTTAGGTAATGTTAAAATAATGCAGATTATGCAATTAAAGATGACGATACTAGTAATAGCAGCAAAGCTGATGACTAAGATATTCAAAATGGTATGACAATGCTCGTATACGTTGTTACCGCCAGAGTAGTTTAGAAATTGGATGCGAATATTGCACAGTAATAAAAGAATCAAATCAATTAGGAGGTTTACCTGGATTTATTTATTGATCTTGGGTTGGTATTCATCTTAGAATGACATCAGTAGCACAAAAATTGGTATTCTGGTAACACTAGACAACTGTTTCATCCTACGATTGGAATCCTCAGCAGTGCACACCTATGGACTCGCCTGGGACCGAACCCTGGACTCTCAGGTTTCACGGCAAGCAGGCTATCATTAAGTCATTAGGTCGGACGGAAGCCAGTGGTTCATGTTTCCTACTTCTGTAAGTTCACGATATAGCACGACCTGCATCCAATGCCGCTGTTGAGTAACTGTGTTCACGTTCGACTTGGTTGGCCCAGCCGGTCGCATTTTCGTATTGAAACTTCAAGAAACACCTCTCTAAGCTACTCACCAAATAAGCACTAGATGAATATCAATCTGAAATCAACCAATGACTTCCTGCAAACCTACAAATTGAATAAATCTAGTGCGAATTGTTGACTACCTTCGACAGATAGTTCTCGAAGTTTCAATGAGAAGTCTTGACCAGTGGTAGCAAGTAAGTCGAAAATGAAGAAAGTTACTCAGTGACAGCATTTGATAGAGGTTGCACTATACCTTGGACTTACCGAAGTAGGAAATATGAACCACTGGATCCCGACCCAATGGCTAACTGATAAAGTGTTGGCCGCGGACCCTGAAATCTTTGTGTTAGGTCTCTGGGGAGTCATGGGAGTCCCTTTACTGGGGATTTCAATACTAGGGTGAAAAAGCTGTCCTGCATTTCCAGGTTCCCAACGCCTTTGTAATTCGTGTCAGTTCATGATGAATATGAATATGAAATCGTTGAAGAATTAGATTTGGGAATAAAGAGATTGGAAATGAGGCAGATTTTAATATAAGTTTAAGAAGAGGTATTTTCTTTACTTATTCATGCTTCAATATTTACTTTCTGTTGTAGGATAACACCTTTAATTCTCACAATCGTATGCATATACTGACTACATTAATGAAAGAATATAATGCATACTGCTTGTCAGGTTTATCTAAGCAATCGAAAGTATCACTTTGCAAACTGGCATGTTTATTCAATCCATTCGGTGATAACTGTATAGACAAAGGAACATCACAAGATGCAGAATTGGGATCGGTGGATTATGAACGAAACGCCAATAACATGAATTCCCCCAAACTACAATCAGTAGGTTTAAAAAAATATTACCTTCAAATTTTTATTTCTCTCAGATCAGTTGTTTAAATAATTTGAAATTCTTAAACATTTGTTTTGTATTAACCTCAATGTTATGAATTTCTATTTTTGCAAAGAACTTCCCTGTGAATATTTGCCCTTTTCACAAAGTTTTTTCTTAACGTTTTTGAGTCCTTACATAACAGTGCTTTTATAGCTTGACGAATTATCAACATACTGATTGTCCTAGACTACAGTCTTACATCCAGTAAGTCTTCGTGAGTATCGATGTTGTATTCGTTTCTAGGTTGGCCACGAGCTTTGAGCATAGTAGGTTTTTCTCGATGCTGAACTTAGATTTATAATCCAGTCTAACATCTCAGTATTGTTTATTTACTTCAACAAATAGGGCTTACTTCATTTTGCTTGTTAACATGCATTTCATTCGTTCGAATAGTCTATGAAGGCATTTGACTGTCAATGTCTTTGGCTAGATTTAAACCTTCTGTCTTCAGTTGTTATTGCTTCACTCAGGCAGATCCATCTTTTGTTGATCTGTAGTTTAAAATATAAAATAGGATGAGATATGGAATCAAATCTAAACATCAAACTAAGAAAAATTTGGAAAATATGGGTCAAAGCAAATCAAAGATGAAGTCAAATGTTATATCTATTTCTACAAAATAATTAATCAAACAAATCGGGCAATACTATGAAAATAATAGACTTCCATTTTTTAGGAAGTTAAGTATTTCTCTATGCAGTAACCTACCACATAACATATATTCAGAACAAGTTAAGTCAACTATTATGTTTCGACATTGCTAAAGCTAGAAAAATTTAGTTGTTAAATATGAATTGAATTAAAATGGGAATCAACAAAGAATATTCTTTTCATCTATTTCCCAAAGGATTCTAAAAATGGAAATTTTCTGCATAAAACAGTAGACCAAGGATTCGGCAAATACTTTTTAAAATTGAATTTAAATTAGGGATTATAAACAGACCGAGTTTTTAATTAATACGTCTGTCAATGCCAAAATGCTTTGCACACATAGAGAATGTGATGAAAACAACAAAAAAGGACAACAACTAGGAATCTTGGTAACAGCACTCAAGATCAAGGGAGAGGAAATACCTGAAAGTGTTCTTTCTAAGTTCAGAGTTCAGGTTTCATCGATCTTATCATTAAAACTCTGGCTACATTGAGACGACGTTTGCAAGCTGTATGTGTTGATTTATCTAGAGTATGCTACAGGATATTAAAATTTGTATTAGCATGTATTTTATAGCCTGCGTGCAGCAGATGTCCCTGAACAGAGTATGCTTTACTACTCTGACTCTCCATTTTGAAGATTAAACCGACAAATTTTCGTTTGTCTTCTGACTTACCTCTCCAGTGGTTTGCCCTTTGTGACTTGTCTCACACGAATAAGAAAACAGAGAAATGGTGCTCCTCAGTCTTGAACTAGGAAATGGATGGCCGCTAAAACTATGCGAAGACTTGCTAAGAATTCTAAGCTATAAGGAATTCTAACTTAGTAGACATAGAGCATCACAGAGATGTTGTTAATCAAATGAAACTCGCCAAGTATTTAAAATACCGGTTCAGTCATATATTCGTATAGTGGATTGAAGATAGAATATGCGTTAGCGTCTCTTTTGTAAAAAAAATCCCTACATCTGAGGAGTAATGTACCCTAAAATTAGGTTTATTGTGGACGCAAGAAATGCATTTATTGTCATGATTCACTTATGACAGTTCTTCTTTGTTTATATAATTGTCTTTGATGAAAGCTTGCGTGGGATGATATTTTAGGGACCGAATGTTTTATTGGTGCCTTAGAAGTGAATTCACAAACTAGATACAGCGAAAATTAAATTATCAGTCAAATATTCACTTATTTTATCAAGGTACTTAGAGTGATGAGGTACTTTCATAAACTTCAGAATTTCTGTAGTTCAGAAGAACTCTAATCTGAAGATATTATTCATATTTTTTGTGATTTAGTAAATATGCATGTACTGAATCGAGCTTCAGTGCCTGACCGCATATCGGACCGGTTCAAGTCATATGTGTATGAATGTGTTGCGCATCTGTGTGTGCTAGGTTTTGTCTTATAGTAAGTATCCTAGTGATCCTGATAAGTAACATATAATCCTCTGCGATATATTCCTAGTACCCTTTAATTTTTAAACCAACCGTCTTTTTGTAACATTTACAGTAATGGCGTTAACATGGGATTCACGTGAAAGAATAACAGTGGACTCTATGACTATTCTATCCTAAAAACTACAAACTGATTTCACCCGGTAAAAACACCACAAGAGCATAGGAACTCCAGATTTAATGGTTAAATTGCAGTGTACAAAGGTTTTGTCACATTTATCTGAATAAACCACCGCTTCTAATCCAATATGTATTTCTGTCCTACTAAATTTTTTCTGCACTACTTCTCTAGATAGAAGAAAATGAGGCGGCAGACAGTTCTACTGTCGGGCAGTTGGTACCAGATCAGTTTTCGCCAGCAAAAGTTGATGGTGTACAAGAGGACATGCATATTGCAAATACAGACTGTAGTGTAAATTCAGGCGTTAAACGAAAGCTGAAAACCAATCGATTAACGGGATTGAGCGAAAATTTTATCCTGGAAATTCTTTTCGCTCTTTATCCAATCCTATTTACTGAACAATCAACTTTAGCTTTAGAGGCACTCAAATCGATTGAAGCCAGAGCAACCTACGAATTATGGACACGTGTAAGTTAGGTGTTTCTTGTTTATTTATTCTCTCATAAGATTATATTTGTTAATCCAGGTGTTTTCGGAAACAAGATTCAATTCCTTCTGATTTAATCTCGTAGAGAATACTAGTGTAATTTGATGCTAATCCTGTTCGACATTTATTGATAAAGAAATATCCACCCATTGTTGGTAATCCTTCAGTATATCCACTTTTCAGTAGAGCAGTTTAAAGGCAAACTAAAGCAGTTTTGCCGGGCCTAAACTGATCGTTACTCCCCCTAAAGTTGAATGGGATGGTTGCATTTCCTAACAGATGGCTAGTTGGTGGAATACAAGGTACTGTCTGTTAGATAATCCTAGAGGTATTGGGCTAGTTTTTTGTTAACTAATTAATCAATAAGGTATCGGATTATTGCAGTTTGTTGTGTTGATCATTGCATGCACTAATTATTAAGTTGGTCATCTTGTTATACTATTCATGGAACAAAATCTTGTAGGATATATATATATAAATAAATATATGAAGGTTTATTCAAAAGTGAGACAAATCTTATGGATCCTAATATTCACCTGTACTTTGCTGAATTTCAAATACATAGAACATGCAAAAGCATTGTTATTGCCCTGTGCATCTGTACCTCGAATGTTCATGTTTTCATAGACTGTTCAATACCACAAGTATCACTTTTGTTTTAGACTTTTATATGCCATCAATAAGTTCACGTTGACCTCATCAGTACAGATATTTATTGTAAAGGGATCCCAATTTTCACAAAGCTATTTTTTATTAAATGACAACTATCGTTTTTATTTGTATTTCAGATTTTACTACTTATCAGTTCGATGGAACAGGATTATCAGCGATCAAAATTGTCTGCTTCAAAATCAATCAGAGTTCATAAACGAACGGCAGACCTAAATGAACTCAGTGAAGCTTCTTTTACTGACAGCTTAGTCGATGAAAGTAAAATGGATTCTGAACAATTAAGTTTAGCCAGTGCCTATTGTGGTCTCTGGTCTGGACTACTTGGGAAAAAGTCTGATTTACAACAAGATGATTCTCTCCAGGATCTTCCTGAGTTTCAGGACTTATCAGGCAAGCGTCTGCATTATGTTCGACTAGCTCAAGCAAAATTTAAACGACCTGTGGTTACAAACTCAAATTTCAAGATCGTAAAATTACCAGATGACATAACACCTGTACCACCGATTGAAACTAATTTCTCAAAACATAGTATACAAAAAGATGCCATTTTACAACCTGAAACTAAATACTCATCTAATAAGTGGAATGGTTCTTTGGATGACTTAGTCGTTTCTAGTGAATCAGTGGCACCTTCTCTTTTGTTCAGCCGAGAATGGTTCAAGAAAACTTTATGGAAAGATAGACAGCCAGAAAAGTGATAAATCACCTTTCTTAATCCCTGTTATTCATTGTCGAAACATTAACATGAACAGGATTTCTCGTTAAACAGTGTCTATCATGAAGTTATTGTTCTGGAGGATGTTGAAGTTAATTATTTATGCAGTAAAATCTGAAAGTGTCATTCAAACGAAATTATGTTAAGTGTGCACTTTTGAGAAATAATCATTTCATACCTGCCCTATCTTCTCACTTCAGTCATGTTTGGTTATAATTTTCCGCTTTAGTCCTTCAAAGCCCTAAGAATACATATCAATTTGTTTCAAACAACAAATAAATGAACACGATAAATGTTAGGTAACACATCCTTAAGTGTCCATCTATTTCCTTCAGTGTATTGAAGAGCGTCACAGTGAATAAATTCATATGAGCATATTTCTCACCAGTGCATTCCATAAACACCATTATTTCTTTTTCAAAATATAGTTATCTATATCACACAGTAAACTGTAATTAAAGTCTTCATTTATGACAGAATTATAGACAATCAAAGCGTGATGCACAGTAGAAAGTAATAAAAGGGTACAAGTGGGATAAATTTATATCTTCTTTTTCCACAGATGAATACCTAAAGTGTTAAAATTTGATTGTTCCCTATGATGATCAACTGCAGCACAGACGAAACCGAAACAGCCAACAAGTGGATATGACTTTTAAACATTCCATTTACAAATTGTTCAGAAGTAACTTCTCTTTCTATTGTAACACAGTTATTTCCAAGTCACTTCTACTATCAATCCTATAAATGTAACATCTTGATAAAGAAATAATATAAAAGCTGATAGGGGAAATATTTAAAATTATAGGAATCTGAAGAGTTTTTAATATTTTAAATAAGTGAATGCCATTTTAACATTTCTACGAATTACTCATGATTTTTTAAAATTCACTTTTTCATGTAAGTTTTTTGACAGCACAAACAGTGAAAAGTGCTAAGCCTTTAGAACGGTATCATTTGAAAAAGTAAGTCTGTGAAATAGTCTTCCGAACAGAAGTCATTTACAGAGTGCTTTATGTTCCCATAAAAACTTAACGCGTTATCATGCTTTCATCTTGCAGGTGAGTTGTATGTTCTTGCAATATTCAAGGCTGTTGAAGTATTTGATTATGACTATATAGAAAGTAGAGGATAAGAGGTTAAGAACAATAGTGAGACAATAGTGAGACACATCACTGGTCACTTCATAAACTAAAGGACTAAATGAAAGCTAAAACCAGAAGAAAAATACCTAATCTATAACTTTAAAAGTTATGTATAAACTTTTCAGAAGAACTCAACAATTATATCCTCATAATGATGCTAAAAAATGTGCAGTGTCTCAGACCTATCTGTCTGAAATGCAACAAAAGTATGACGCTTGAGTTAAGGACCTCTTGATGGCTGTATAACACAACCTAAGATCAGTTGGGGTATGTCAAAGTGTTGAATCCTTTTGCTTGATGAATATGTTGCAATGTGATCGATACACTTCAGTCAGCAAGTAAGACTAGATAGACTGATCACTTTTTACCGATCAATTACAGGATGTCATCTCGTCCTAAAAGTAGTCTAGCACCTTGCCATACAGCTTAGTTTAAGCACTTCTAACTGTAGCACTAACTGGATCTTCAAAAAGACTTAGTTCCCTTGTAATCATATATAAATTTCACTGGTTAGCGTCATCGGCATACAACTTAAACAAAAAGCTCCATAAGTTTTCATTTCTCGCAACTTGAATTCTCGTCATGTCAAGTGCGATATAGACAGTATTACTTGCCTTACTTAGATCTACTTGAATTGAGATTGTAACTGTTTTCAATTCTCTTTGATTTATTCACTTTGTCAATGTCTTTTCATATATTAAAATAATTTCCTTTAAATGAACGTGATAGTTTTGTGAGTTGTACTGGAATTCGATAGTGAGATTTCTATACTGATATCTTATTCATATAGAATTACATTGTTCTTTGTTATGTAACAGTTGATTCACTGTTATCTTAACTTTTCTCCATTTTATTTTAGTACACTGGATATTCCCATTTAGACACTCAGAAAAAGACTGACCGAGAGAAGAAATATATTTCTTTTCAATTAGGTCTTCATCTTCGGCTCCACACTAAAATATTGTTTTACAATTTAATCAAATTACCAATCAAGTGGTCGGGGGTTGTTAAACAATAACCATAGATTTTAGTTAAGTCATGAAGACTATGTTTTAGAAATAAAGATGTAAGTAATCGATAGAGTTATTAAAATTGGAAATATGAAGCAGGCTACTCTTTGTTGCTCTTGAGCAATGGACAAATTGAAGCAATAAAGAGCTCCATACTTGTACACCTAGTTGACACAGAACATAAAGCTTTCAAAATTATTCATCATATTCCAATTATTTACTACGTGGATTACGCCCTAGCTTACTTCACATAGCAGAGGCGATTGCGATTCATCTTTACAAACCTGACCTTTGTATTCAAAAGAAGTTTGTCCAACCAATTTCATTACCGTGGCCATCAACGTGATGTAATTTGTAATATTACTCTGTACACGTCTTCCCCCTCATGTTTCTGTCAATATTCATTTCTTTTGTTATTATTACGTGGCCACTTATTGTTTATGACTTAACACTCATTGAAAACCACTCCACTTACCTAAAAATTGCCTGCTTCATATTTCCAATTTTAATAACTCTATTGATTACTTACATCTTTATTTCTAAAACATAATCATCATGACAACTAAAATCTATGATTATTGTTTATCAACCCCCAACCAGTTGATTGGCGATATGATTAAGTTTTAAAACAATATTTTAGTGTGGAGCCGAAGATGAAGACCTAATTGAAAAGAAATATATTTCTTTGATCAGTCAGTCGTTTTCCATCTTTTTTATCAAATGTATCAGTTCACAGAGAATGAGTGAAATTCCCAGTAAAAAAATAGTTATCCATTTATGCTCTGCATAGATACAGTTAGTTATTGGGAAAAAGAGTTATTTGTTAAAGAATTTACTCAAAAGTCAGTAGTATTTTACCGCTGAAAAGTTCATTTACCTAAAGTTCTATTTAGTGAACAGTAAAACCAGTAAAAGAAGTTGACTTATTAATGGTATTTAGGTTATTCGACCAAACTTACTGGTTATTTTCGACAACACTTTAATGAATACGGTATAAATCATGTAATTTTGGTCTTCTGTTGATTAGGAGAGTGGCCAGTAGGTTCTCAGTGACTGTTGTTATCTCTGAATGTTGATCGTTAGCGTATGAGAAGCAAAACTAGGCGTAATCGATAGTCACATCACATTAGTATAATTTCAGTAGCTAACATTAGAGAATCTAAGAATAAAATTGTTTGAACAGTTTGGTCACAAGCGCTTACTATTACTTGTAAAACAGTTGTAGTTACTTTTGTCGTAAATGCCACATTCTTCGAAAATGGAATAAGCTGGTTTAATAATCAAAGCCTTACTCTAAATTCTTAATACTAGTGTACACACTCACCCGGTATTCGTAAAATGAATGGATGGAAATGCTTCTAAAACATGGGGTCAAGTAGTTTTGTTGAGGTTCCACTTGTTATGGTGGTACCAAGTGACACTAACGAGAAACAGACCCAAAAACTGACTATGATAGAGAATGCTTAGGAGTTACATGATATTAAGTAATAAACTTATGAAATTACCCTGTCTGTCATAAGAATAATAAAACAGAATACCTAAATTTAAGGTACTTAAGTAAGGTGAACGCAAGTAACATTAGATAAATCAAAGAGGTGTCAATGCTTCAAAGTATAATATGAAAAATACAATGCAGTACTCACCTTTATATATACCATATGGGTGCTTAATGCTATCGCGAGTTTATGCGCTTATTTGCTGCATTTATAGATGGAATTGACATGTGCATGTATATTTGCACACTGCAGCGAATTGGTGAAGATTGTTTTTGCAATATTTGTTTTAACACATGGAGTCATTTCCGATAGCTATAAGGTTTGGATTTAGATATAAATGAATTTTGTGACAGAAATGCTCCCTTACAGTAACCTATAGGTTAAAATTTATCAGATAAAAAGACAACAAGAGGTATTTAAATCTAAGTCTGCGGCACAAATGATTAATAGGTTTTATACGGCGCCATGCTTTAGGCTTTGGTGGGGGATTGGAAAATAAAACCATACATACATTTTTTCTTCTCGAATGAACATTGTATTCACTTCGGCGTACTTATAGAACTAGAAATTAAGCTCTCTTGACAGATATACTTTAAAAAGAAGTATAACCGAGAAATGCCATAGATTTATATTCAGTAAGATATTCATTTTATCCGTATAATATCAGATGACTGTTCAATAGGGTTCATGACTACCGGTAGTAAAGTATTACAGTGTAATATGTGTAATCAGAAGGTCAATAGTGATCCTTCTTACTTTCATTGTATTCTTCGTCTAGTTGGTAATTTTATTAGAAATTTCGTGTGTTCGCCATAAAACGCTTAAATCATATTGTTTGCGTTATCACTTTGACTGTTTGAGTGAGCTGACCGTGCTTTGGCAGACTGGTTTTGGTATTGGGTGACGATTGAAGGCAAAAGGTCTGGTATCTCAGTCGGTTGAACACCAAACCGGACACCTTGTGGTCACCGGCTCGAATTCGCTGCCGCCCAAATCTTGATTTCATCTTCAACCATGACCCCCGTTTCAGTATTGCTTACAGTATGATAAGCATAGTGCCATAAATCTTACACCATGAATTTCTTCATGAGCACAAAACAATTGGGACTAGACCATATAAAATGCAAAACTCAAATAATTGCAAGTGATTTTATTCCAATCTACCTGAAGAATTATTGAAGTTCTCCGTTTAAAATATTTTAGCCTCTACAATTTACACTTTCAGTCACATTATAACAGACCAAGAGAGCAGTGTTTAGCCGGAATTTTTGTCAATAATGATTGGTTTCTGACCACTGCTACTACTCTTATTATCACAAAAGTTAAAAATTC